ACTTTTATACCATCCAAGGTGGAGGTCAACATCCTTCCCATGAAAATCATCTACCACAGTCTGGGTTGAGGCTCTCACCTTCCACGCCACCTCTAAGCTAAAAACCCCATACAGATATATCCTTCTTCAGCCACCTGACCCTACTGATTTACCTTTCTAAATATTTCTCAATTTGCTCCCTTCTCAGGCTTGAGCTCTCTTTATCTCCTGCCTGGACGGTTATAGTAAACTCCTCATTGGCTTCCAAGCATTAGCTCTCAATCTCCTTCGACTCATCCTCCATAGAGGTCACCAGTGGGATCTGTTTAAAATGCAATCTGACCAAGTCACTTTTTCCTTAAAAACCTTCCATGGCTCCCATTGCTTTCAGAGGAATTGATCACAGTGGGTTTAGCACCACACCAGTCCTGCAGGATATTTCATAGACATAAGATTCAGGAAATGCTGTACATAGTGCCCCTCTTTAAGATTCGTAACGTACATTAGCATCTTGCAGATGGCTTCAGGCCTTCCCTGATGGCTAAGAATCCACCTGCCAATGCAGGGAACAAAGGTTCAAACCCTGTTCTGGGAAGATTCCACATGCCATGGAGCAACCAAGCCTGTGCACCACAGCTACTGAAGCCCTTGTGCCCTAGAGCCCAGGCTTTGCAATAAGAGAGTAGCCCCCACTCACCACAGCTAGGGAAAGGCCACAAGCAGCAACGAACACTCACTACAGCCAAAAACAAATACATAAAAATTTAAAAGATGGCTTCATCATCCTAAACTCCAGCATCTTGCTCTCTGACCAGGCCCACCTTCTTGCTATCCCCCAGTCCACATGTTCTTTAGCTTCACAGGACATCCAGAACTCAGGCCCTTCCATTTCTCTCTACCCTAGTTCTGTCAGACATCATTGGAACCCTGCCTCATGCCCAGCATCACTTCTGTGCAGCCTGAGTCACCTCTCCCATTTTCAGAAGGGGCTCTTCTAAGTTTGTGGAAGATCATCTCCTTCATCTCCTACTTATGGGGCGAGGAGAGAACTTAGGAACTCCCTTCATGTCTGGCTCCCTTTCCTCCTGCCTCCCCCTGAAGCCAGACATCTCCACCTACATTCTGCATCTCGTCCTCTCTCCCCTTTACCACCTGTATCCATCTTCTTTCTCCTGTATCTTCTACCTTTGCTTTAGTCTCTACTTTCAGCCTATATATATATAAAACTCTTCCGTCCAACATGCAAATGAACCCCACCCCCAGTAGTCCTTTGAATGCCACCTCCTCTCATAACTGCTAATCCCTCTCTCCCCTCCCCCGTATAGCCTTGCTTTTCTAAAGAAGAGTCTACCTTCTTCACTTCCATTTCACTTTCCATTCCCAACTCAACCCACTGCAGCCTTTCAGATTCCACCACCTTCTGAAACTGCCCTGGCCGCAGTTGCCTAGAGTTCACCCATTCACTGCCTTGCCTTCACGATCCTCCCTGGAGCAGCTGACACTGATGGCCCATCCTTTCTTTTGTACACGGCTGTGTCCTAGCTGGTAGGACATGAGCCCCTGCTTTTCCTCCCCCTTCCTTGGACTCTGCCCTGCTCACCTGCCCCCTACATGCTGAGAGTCTCCAAGCTCCACTTTGGTCGTCTGCTCTTCTCTATGTGTGCCCTGTTCCTGGGCATCTCATCCACACTCATGTCTTCAACTGCCCCCCAGCATGCAACCACCCACACACACCCTGTCCTCATCTCAGACCTCTCTCTGGAACTCTAGGACCACATTGCCCACTGTCTCCTGGGTCCTGGGCGCCCCAGACAACTCACAGCCAACACATCCTGAGAAGGACCCATCTCCTGCTTCTGTGCTCCCCCAGCAGCAAATGAGACCATCAAGTGCACAACCCAGACACTAGGGTCACCCTGGTCCCTTCCTTCCACTTCTCCTTCCGCTGCCAGGCATAGCTGGTCATACAGTATGGCAGAGCCAATCTGACTGTACAGAGGAGAAACCTTGTCAAACACAGTTCCAGGGGCCCTACCCTGACTTACTGAATCCAAAGCTCCCAGGCTGGGCCTGGGAATCTGAGTTCCTAGCAAGCCCCTCCAGCCTGCTGGGATGCCTGGCTCAAGTCCCAGACTGGCATTGAGGAACCACTCTTCTCTGATTTGTCCCCTGCCAGTCTCCACTGCCAACAGCACCTCTGCTTGCCCCATCTGATCCATCTTCCACACTGAAGCTAAAATGCCGTAGGACTATGGCTCACCTCTCCTAAAACCCTTCTAGATGCGCCCCCCACCCAGGAGCCCTGCTTCATAGCCATGTGCACTGAGTGGAGTGACTTCTGCTCACCACCTGTGTCACCTCCAGCCTCACTCCCCTCTTCTCAGATGATGCACTCCAGCTGCCCCAAAGGATAATTAGTCCCCAAACCCACAGCCCTGTTCTATAGCTCCTGGCTTTGCACACGTTGCTCTTTCTAATCAGACCTCCTCACTCCCTCAGCCCCTCTGGACTGACTCTTAGGGCTCAACAGAAGCTGGGCTAAAAACCCGCCCCTTAGGCACTGTTAGCCCACATGGGGACTACAGATTTCCTAGGATTCCCGCCCCCGCCTCCACCCCAGGTAAATAGTGGGCCCTCAAGACAGAGCCTGGACTTTGATTGCTCACCATCTCCAGAGCTGAACCCAGCAAGATTAGTGGATGGAAGGGTAAAATAAGAGAAGGAATGGGAGAGAGCAGAGAGGCCCAGAGGAGTCAGGGTGATTCTGCCCGTCTGTCCTTCGGCCCAGGCCACCAACTGACCTCTCCTTAGCAGGGACTCTGCTTTGGATCCTGAGGCTGAGTTCTCAGAAATACCACTCTCGTGGGGTTTGAGCTGCCCCCCAGGCTCTGACATTCCCCTAGTAGCCAGATCGGAGAGGGAGCTGCATTCCCCCCTCTCCACGTGCCCTCTGATAAGGTTTGGGGCATCTAAGAAGTCTTAGCTCCTTCTATCTGCCCTGGCCACCTCTGAACTTCATTAACAAGGACAGTGGGTTCACAGGACCCCAGGACCAACCTGCACTCTGAACTTGCAGTCCCCTCCTCTTCCTGGACCTTCTCCCACCCTTGCTCAGTGCCTGGGCAATGCACCACGCCTTCCCCATTCTCTTTTCCTTTTCCTCTCTTTGCCCTTTCAGTGCCTTTGCTACAATACCTGCCAGTCACTTCAAGGTTTTCCCTGTGACTTTGACTCCCAACTTTACTGCCCTCCACTGTCCTGCTTCAACCCCTCCCCAGCCTGGTCTGAAGATGGCAGAGGCCATGTTGGGGAGGAGAGCTGGATGGGGACAGAGGTCTGCGTTAGTTGGATGGCACCCCCACTTTGCCCCCTCACTGTGCAGACACCAGACCCTCCATTAAGTGGGCTTGATTCTGTGGCAGCCCTAGCCTCTGCCTCCCACACTCAGGATCAGGCACATAATTTGTGGATCTGGTGCAACATGAAAATACAGGACCCCTTGCCCAAAAGCGGTTAATAATTTCAAGATGGCAGTAGGAGAGCACTGAACCAAACACCAGGCCCTCCTAAATGCATGGCTCTGTGTGACTACACAGGTCTCACGTCCATGAAGCTGGCCCTGCCCACACCCTTTCCCAGCTGGGGACAGCCCCTCTCCCCTCTCCTGTCCTCAGCTGTTTTCTAGGGCAGCTCCTCAGGGCCTGAGAGCAGGACCCCAGCCCAGGCACCCACAGAGGCCAGAGCCCTGTTCAGCAGGCACTTAATTCCTGCAGTCCCTCTGGCAATCTTCGCCCCCACACTACCTCTGGGCTGCAGGGTACATACACCCTCCTCAGATCAATGCCTATTGACTGAGCCCCACCTGGCTAAGCCTGTGGAAGAGAGCACAAGTTGACAAAGGCTCAAGCACTGCCCTCCAGGAGTTCAGTTTAACAGCAGGATTAAAACTTAAACAAGAGCAGGACCAAACACAGAATTCAGCGGGTTCAGAGAAAAATCATCATATTTGATTAGGAGGCTGAATTTCAAAAGAGATGGAATAAAGGTGGACTTCCATGAGTGGGCAAGATTTTATTTACCCAAGGAGGAAAAGGGCTTTCCCCGAAGGTTGCACAGCAGGCACATTAGAGGTGGAAAGATGCCTGGCAGGTCCCAGAATCCTGGGTTGTGCAGTTTGCCGAGGCATATTGATGGCAGAAGAGTGGGAAGAGACTGGAAGGGAATTTTAGGGTCTGCGTGCAAAGCTCTAAGAGCTGTGGTGAAGTGTTTGTACTTTGGTAGCGGAGGCACTGAGGGGACGTTAGGTTTGGGCCGTATTTCGGATCAAAGGGAGAAAAGAGGAGACTTCCTCCACTTGGCCCTCCCAGCCTGCCGGCAAGTCCAAAGTCTCACCTTTCTGCAGAACAGGCCGCTGATATCCAGGGTTCTGGAGCTTATACAGTCCACCCTTCTCTGAGCTACCCACAAGGGTGCAGCCTGGGCTCCCTCCCGCCGTACCACCGCGGAGGACCCGCAATCTCGCGTGATCCTGGGTTCCCCGCAGCAGTGCGGGCGGTGTTGGAGAGGTTTGAGGCTCTTCCTCCACTTCCTTCTGTGGTCCTGCTCGTGTTGGTGGTGGAGGAGGAGCGGAAGTTAGGTGGGTCGGTGGTGGTGGCGGAATAGGAACCAGGACTGGGAGTGGAGGCGACCTACTGGGAGCATCCAGAAGGCATGCCTGGGAATGGGGACAGGGTGGCTCTCATCCCCTGGTGGACCTACTACCCACTTATTTTATCTTTATATTATGTATATTCTCAAACATATACAAAAGTAGAGAGAGTGGTATAGTGATTTCGCCAAGCCCCAACGCCGAGCTTCAACAATTTTCTCCTCTTGGCCAATTTTGTTACATCAAACCCTCTCCCACCACCCACTTTAAAGAAGGATGTGGGTGGCCTGGGGGTGGCAGAGGCGCCCCCCACCCAGAGTTGTAGGAGAGCTGGTACCAAGCTTGCACCCCTGGCGAATGGACCGCCAAGAGGCAGAGCGCGGGCACAGTCGGGCTGGGAGAGGGGCTCACGCTGGGTAGAGGCCGCGGGGGGCGGGGGCGGGGCTAGCGGGGCGGGGCTTGGAGCGGCGAGGGGGTTGGGGGCGCTCTCCCGGTGACTCAAGGAGCGTGGGGCTGGGCGCAGAGCTGCAGTCTCCGCCTTTGCAGTTTGGAGTGTGCCCGCTGCGCCGCAGCTGTCCGTGCCTGCCGCCGCCTTCCCGCCGCCGCCACCGCTGCCACCATGCCCAACTTCGCCGGCACCTGGAAGATGCGCAGCAGCGAGAATTTCGACGAGCTGCTCAAGGCGCTGGGTAAGCTGGCCCGGTCAGCGCGCCCCGACGGAGAGTAGCGGCCGGAGGCGCCCCGGGGCCCGCGGGGAGTCGGCTTTAGGGACCAACACTAGGCAGGAGGGAGTCCTGGGTGCCTTAGATCGGGGCGAATTCCAAGGAGCATCCCATCTAGAAGTGGCGAGGAGAGCCCGGGATCCACTCATCCAGCGAACGTTTGCTGGATCCTTGGCGCTTTCCCCGACGGCTCAGCCTTTATCTCGCGCTGGATCATCGCGAGGAGAGCTTATTACTGAAATCCTGGGAGGGTCAGGGACTTTAAATCTGGGGACTCATTTTGAGACCAGGCCCTACCACGTGCTACCGAGGGAAAGCCATTTACCGTCTCTGAGCCTCAGTTTCGCATCTTGAAAATCAGGGCGAGAGCCGGGGGAGGAATGGTTTAGTTGTAAGTCCCCCTTCTATAGTCAGAGGGTTTGGGAAATGCCGGGCCAGTTCTGGGACTGTGGGCGGGTGGCGAGACCCCGTGACCCGAACCCGGGTCGCCCTCGTTCTTCCCGGGGCAGGTGTGAACGCCATGCTGAGGAAAGTGGCCGTGGCGGCTGCGTCCAAGCCGCACGTGGAGATCCGCCAGGACGGGGATCAGTTCTACATCAAGACGTCCACCACGGTGCGCACGACCGAGATCAACTTCAAGGTCGGAGAAGGCTTTGAGGAGGAGACCGTGGACGGACGCAAGTGCAGGGTGAGGTCCCAGAGTCTGGGCAGCGTTCCCAGATCCCTGCTCCCTACCCAGGAACCGCTGCAGCCAGACGAGACCCCCATCTCCTTTTGCAGCCTGTGGCGCGCCTTCCTTGCAGGGCGTGTGCACCGGCTGTTTGCCCAGAGGATCTATGCAACGCGTTGCCCTGGGCTCGGGAGAAAGTCCCACCCCAGCCCCTCCCGACTTCATCCCTAAATTGCCTCCTGGGGTGCTAACAGCCGCGCTTAAAGCGCGGGCTTTGGGGTTACACCGCGTTCCCTGCAGGGGTTTCTGCGGCATTTTGCAGCGATCCTCGCGCGAGCGCAGGCGGCTGGGGAGGAGGAGGTGGCTGGGCCGGGTTGCCCGGCCGTGCGGCTGCCACGTTTCCTGTCGCAGGTGGAGCCGCAGCTCTTGGCGTCCAGCCCTCCCAGGTCCCTGGGCCCTTGGGAATGCTCTGGATCCAGTTTCAGCAGTCTGGATGGCCCCGGTACCTCTCCTGCCCGCCCTCAGTTAGGTTCCTTAAAGGAAAAGACGAAATCTTTCCAAAAGCAACGCAGATTCTGCCCGGAAAATGGACTGAGTGCCCTCTTTTAGTCCTCAGGGGCAAGAATTCTGTTTCCATTTATCGGCCCCTGGGATGAATCGGTGGACTGAAGCAAGGGGTTGTAAATTCCTTTTTTAGATGGGCAAAGTCCCATTGGTTGGTCTCTAGAATAGAATGGAAGGTTGGCTACCCATGTATTTTGAGGACAGATGGAAAAATCGCTGATGCTACCACTTATTTAAAAAGTGACAAAATGTCTCGCTCCTCTCCCCCAAGGTTTGAAAAAAGAAAAACTCATAGCATTCCAGAGAGTGAGAAATTGTTTTTCACCTTTCTGGAGCCCTGCCTGTCTGATCTAGAGTGAGACTCTCTGGGCACCGGATTTGGGAGGACATAGAAACACAGCCCCCCAGAAGCACCCTGGCCCATGAAGCAATATTTGACCCCCAGAGTTGGCACAACCTGAAAATGATATCTGGGCTTGGAGCTGGCCAGATCCAAGCCTTCAGCCACTGCTCTGTTTGCAAAAACAAAAGAGCAGGACATCTCTTCAGCGTAAGACGGAAGGTCTGGGAGTCTAAGGTAAAAGGCCTGGCAACAGGCAGGACTCAGTTTGGGTACATCCAACAGTGAGTACTGCTGGAGACAGTAATTCTGATCAGAAATCAAAGGTTCACAGGACAGCCTGGGGAGCGGGGCTTTATCCATCCCCACGATGCCTAGTGAACGTGTCCCATGTGTTAGTTAAAAAGTCAGTATGTGCACATTCAGTACAGCCGCCTCACCCCGAAGTACAGCATTTTGCTTCGTGCAGACACCGGGGAAAACTACAGGGGAATCCCTTCTTTGCCTCCTACCTCCGACAGCTTGAAGACCCTTCAGATCTTTAAAAAAAAATTTTTTTTTCTAGAGAGATGTAACCTGGGAAGTGGCAGTGTTTTTATTCTCAGAGTCAGAGAAACTCAGGATTATCAGAGTAGGCTGTGTACTGCATCTGCTGAGTGCAAACAGAAAGAAAGGCATTATCCCCAAATCCGTGCAAGGAACAGCTCCTGATTTTCTGACTAGATGTGGTCACAAACATGGTGTCAACCATTCTAAAATTTTGTATTTCTGTTGTGAAGCTTTTTGCCCTGAACAACCAAATTGCTTGAAGGGGGAGTCCATTTTGACATAAATGAATCATTGTATGATCTCAATTTTATTCCTGAAGATGTAAGGCATGCCTGAGGCTTTGCTGCTTGTGTGTGTGTGTGTGTGTGTGTGTGTGTAATATAAGGTGTATTTATACTCCCATAAAATCTGTGGTCAGCCCTCTGAATTTGGGCTTGATAAGGCGCAGCAGAGAATGTTCTGTGGCTGCTGACAGGGACCATGTGTTGCTTCTCTGCACAGCAATTATTCTCCCGTGCTCATTGTTGTCTCTGCTCCCCGCTGCCAAGACTGTAATTAATGTCACTAATGGTTTTCCTGCCCGCAGAGCTTACCCACTTGGGAGAATGAGAACAAGATCCACTGCACACAAACTCTCCTGGAGGGGGACGGCCCCAAAACTTACTGGACCCGTGAGCTGGCCAACGACGAACTAATCCTGGTAAGTGAGACCGCCCCCCCAAGCCTAAAAGGAGCTCGAAGGTTTCCAGATGCTGCCCGCAGCGGGGCCCACCAACATTGTCCTCACTCGCCCATTCAGGGAGAGACACTCTATGCCCTGGCTTAAAATGTGAGCAGAAAAGCTCAAGATGACAGTTTAGGCCAGAGGAAATCACTGTTAGATGGTTGGCAGGAGAGCGGAGTGGCTCAAGGGGCAGAGCAGAGGCTAGAGACATGCTGCGCTGCCGGCCACTATCCAAACCCACACATCCCAGCGGTGACCTGCTGACTTGCTTAAGCCAACCTCCCCTCCAGCTGGGCTCAGCGTGCGTGGGCTCTGCGAGGCCCCAGAGTTCACCCTAGGGAAGGGGTTTTCCTCACCTTACCATTCTCCACTTTGCTCTCTAGGAAAGATTTCAGAAATTTCAGTATGCCTGCAAGGGAAGTCTTTTTACCTCCCCCCGACCCCGACCCCCACCCCGGACTTCCAGACTCCAAAGGCTTTCCGGGAGACAGACAAGAAATGCTAATTTAAGACTGTCTGAGGGTTAACTGGAGAGGGTAATCAGGGAATCAGATTGAAGTATTTTAAACATCCCTGGCCATGCAAAATATACCTGCTGAGGCCAAGTTAGAAACCTCTGTAGTTAAATCACACACCTCCTTCCCCTTTATTTGGGGGAGCATAGGAAGTGGGGGGGGGCAGGGATGAAGGACAGCTCCCTTATGCTCCCTTTGTGTTTCAGAACAGACCAAGCTTTCCTGACAACAGCCTTCCCTGCCTGCCTCTTCACTCCCTGCAACCACTCCCACCCCAGAAAATGGGAAAACTGTTGTGGGTAACCAGGAAATGATATCCTTTGTTCTCCGTCAGGCCTGTTGTTAACATCTCCCCTCTAAGACTGCCTGCTTGCCCCATCTTAATGAGCGTCACCCTGAAATGTTGGGAAAGGAGGTGGCAAGGAATGCTAGGACAGGACTCATTGTGTGACCCAGGCCTGACCCTTCCCTCCCCAAGCTGTAAAATGAGGGTTTGGACTAAAGCCTGGTTCCCCCCCCCCCCAATCCAGGTCCCTCTGAGCCCTGAAATTACATGTTTATTCTGTAGGAAGACCCTCAATTGAGCTGTTTCTGTTACTCCAGTGGAGGCCACTTGATCTCGCTTCTTGTCCTTCCCTGAGATGATTTCCCAGATTTCCTCCTTTCACAGAGAAAGGACTGGCTTCATTTGCAACCTGGTTAATGTTGTTTCCAGGGCAGGAATACATTGATGGGGTTGGGGGAGCAATTTGAGGCCAAGAGATGGAAATTTAAGAGAAAAAGGGACATATTTATTGGGACCAGGGATAGCAAAGAGGGAGATGATTTTTAGAGTTCTTGAGGGTTAAGTAGGCTCGGTATGCTTGGTGAGAAAGTGTGATTTTATTAATCTCTGTAGTATCTGAGCAGCCCGCACACTGGCTCAATTCTTTTAGGAGATTTCCCCCACTTCCAGCTCCCCCACTGCATCTCCACCCGTGCCTCTCTCCCTGGCTCAGCAGACATATACATACATACATACGAGCCTCAAAGGAAACATTAATTCTTGGCATTTGGGATCTAAAATATGGGCTTTTGTTCCAAGGGTTATTATCATTAATAAATCCAAATGTAGGGAGATGCCGTCTCTATAAACAAGAGGCAATTTATTCTAGTTAACTTGAAATAAGCTCTCCCAGCAACCCCGGGCTGTAACTTGCCTTCTTTTGAAAACTGAGTAAAGTCCCTTAGACCACTCTGGAACACTGTATGGAGAGTTTCTTTCAGGAACCTCTCAGAATAGTTTGCAGGCTGAGAAGGACATTTCGAACGCAATTGGAAATGTAGCCATTTCTTCTTGTTTCGTGAGGCCATTTGATGCCTGGGTGAGCTGTCGATCATTCCAGCACAGGTAAAGAGTCCAATCCCCAACCTTTGGCCTGCCGTGGGATACTCCATGACCATAGAGCTGGAAGAGTCTTGGAAAACAGACATGGCTCTGAGAGGTCTGGACATTTGGGAGGTGAATTTCTATGGGAACCCCTGCCTCACCCTCCCCCAGCACCCAGCATCATCTGCTAATTCCTCACTAATGAGGAGAGGGAGGAAGACCGAGAAGGTGTCCAGAGGAGGTAGAGCTGTGCCGGTATGATCAGCAGTTCCCTGTTTAGGCTGGCGATGAGCATTTGATTCCTTCATAATCACTAATGACTAGTATTTCCCTGAAACACACGTTAGAATAATGTCCCAACTCATGTTCTCTGAGAGCATCTCATGACCAACTGAGTGACCCAGGGGAAGATACAAGTTTGTTCAAGCTCGTGCATGCATGTGTGCTAAGTCGCTTCAGTCGTGTCCGACCCTTTGTGACCCCATGGACTGTGTAGCCTGCCAGGCTCCTCTGTCCATGAGATTCTCCAGGCAAGAATACTGGAGTGGGTTGCCATGCCCTCCTCCAAGGCATCTTCTCGACCCAAGGATGGAACCCATGTCTCCAGTGGATCCTGCATTGCAGGGGGATTTTTTTTTTACCACTGAGCCACCAGGGAAGCCCATTCACGCTCTTAGTTCAGGGTTTTTAACCTAAGGCCTTTTTGACAATTTGAAAGATAGGGACTCTCCCACAGAAAGATGTCTGCAAACAAACATACCTACGTCAGTCGACAGACTGGAGACATCCTGTTTGTTTGTCTTAAATTTTTTTTTTAATATACATATGGCTTTTTCTGTCCCAGTTATCTGTGAGAGACCCAGGGGAGCAGGCCTGTGAGTAATTGCCAGTTTTTGGAAGAGTTGAGACAGCATACTTACAGGGATGTATTTTCAGAGGCCAGAAGAAAATGGTCCTCCTCCATTCGTGGAATGATTTGTGCCCTCTCCACAGCAAACAAACAAACAGTCATAAAACTGTAGCTGAAAGAACTGTAGAATCATCTTGTTCAGTTGCACTCCTGCCCTCAACTCCCTCCTGCTCCATCTCCAAATGGTCCAAGAGACCAGAGCAGTGCCCCAGCTCACCCGGCTGTGAGTTGCAGGCCTAGGGCTGGAGGCCTATGCCAAGCTCTTGCAGCCAAGACCACGTTTCTAGCTCACAGGTTCCTTGAGTATTACTGACACAACATCTCAGGTGTCAGGATGGACAGCTGCTTCCTAGAAGGCTGCACCCTTTCCAAGGATATCCCACCTGACTGTTCATTACTGGATCCCAGGGCTCAGTGGCCCGGACCCATTGTCCTCTTGAAATCACTTGAAAAGAGACAGAACCACTTCAGAAATGTCCAGTATGACTTACCACCACCCCCACTTCAGTTTAATTTAAAAAACCAAAGCCAGGAAACTTGCATTTTTTATGTCAGCACTCCCAGGTTCCAGAAGCAAAGGAAAACTGCACACAATATAATTCCATACCCTAGCTGCCTCTCTGCCAGTGCAGAGCTCAAGGGAGGGGAAAAAAAATCCTTAGCGCTGAGCATGAACACACAGCACAGGAAATTGAATGTCTGTTACAAAGAGTTTTTAACAGGGCAGTAAGTGGCCTTATTAGCGATATGCTTTAAACATTTTTGCACAGGCATCTGCACTGATTGGTTTTCCTTCCCTGCAGACGTTCGGCGCCGATGACGTGGTCTGCACGAGGATTTATGTTCGGGAATGAAGGCGGCCAGCTTGCTCCAGCTTTGGGGGTGGGATGCATGTTCCCCCAAGGAATGTCATAGTTCTGAGCCGCCAGCGGACCTCCTCTTCCTCGGTATTAACGTTAGGTGATCCCGATGTCCCCCCAGTAATGCTGTAGTGTTTTCCCCAAGGCTCTGTGCCTCTGTGTCCCTGGCGCTCCATAGTCTGGCATCTGTATGGTTTCATCAGTCATTAAACTGGGTGTACACACCTCAAGGCTTTCTCCTTCTTTGCACTGCCTCTTTAGTTTCCACAAAGGTCTTGGTGATCCTGCTGACCCGAGCCCTGCACTGGTCTGCATAGGGCCTTTCGGCTTCTACCTGTTGCCCTGGTGCAGAGCTTGGCATATATGGCAAGGGTGGCGACTGGGCTCCCTCTGAAAGGATTCACAACGCAGACCCAGGTGTACTTAGACCTCACTATGCTGGTGTTTTCATTGAATTAGTTGATACTTTGCTGGTTCCCAGCAGGAAAGGGAGGGCACATTTGAAAGGGTTAATTGAGGCGCGCTCAGAATGAAGGGACTATTTACACAGGCCTTTACATGGATGGGGTGAAGAGAACCAGCAAAGGATGGTGAGGTACTCAGAGGCCAGCAGTAGGGAGCTGGTATACTCCCCTAGAGAGATGGACAGAGGGGTCATCAGACCACAAGAGCTATAGCCTGGAAGAGAGACCACTACGTACAAGAGTTGTGGAGTCCACAGAAGAATGTGGTCACTGCCAAAGCCCCAGTATGTGGGCAGAGGGGGGTTCAGAGGGTGGGGGAGAGTCTCTGGCTTGGAACAAGGGGGTTAAATATACTGACCACCCAACTTTCAATCTCTGATCTTATTCTGTCCACTGGCCAAACCCATCTGGAATCTAGGGGGCAAAAGAGTGGGCAGGTGGGGGGAGGAGGGTACTGCCCACAATAGTTACCCTCCTAGGACATAGCCAAGAGGAGAATGGATCCCAACATGCAAAAGGACAATAATCCACAGTCACCAACTCTAACATTCGAAAAATCAGGAGAATTCATATGAAAATCTGCATTTCTATTTCCTTAGAAAAATTGGGAAAATCTGGCATCTCTTAGAGGGCAACAGTTGGCTTAGCAACTTCCCCCCTTTTTAAGTGGAACTTACACTCTCTGCCTTCCCATGGGCCCCACCGTTGCCCTTGCCCTCATTTGCATTGCTTGCCTGGCTTCTTGGGCGTCTCTCCCTGCCATCCTAGGCACAGGGGTTCTTGGCAGAGCCAGGCCAGAGTTGGCTGGGTGGGCATGGGTGAGGCCCAATTTAGATGACCGGTTTAAGGTGACCCTAAAGAGCTCACCCTGGGTGGCTCAGATGGGAAAGAATCTGCCTGCAATGCAGGAGACCCTGAGTTTGATCCCTGGTTGGGGAAGATCCCCTGGAGAAGGAAATGACAACCCACTCCAGTATTCTTGCCTGGAGAATTCCATGGACAGAGGAGCCTGATGGGTTACAGTCCACAGGATTGCAAAGAGTGGGACATGACTGAGCGACTAATACTTTCACTTTCAAAGAGTTCACACCCTGATGGGCAGACCCCTAAGGCCCAGGTGCCACCACCTGTGTGTAAACGAGGACACCTTTACCTAATTTATCACACCTCTGCAGTCCAGAACACTACTTTGCTGATGAGAACTTTGGCTCTTTCTCAAAGATTCTACTACCTACATCTAGGAGGAGTTGCCTTATGGTTTCTTGGAGGAAGGGGGCTGGAGTGGCACCTCTAAGGAAGGGGAGAACCAGGACTGTCTGGAGCACCACTGTTTATTTAAGACTCAGATGCTATAGCCTGTTTCTCTTGAATCCTTTTCTTCTTCAGTTTCCAGAGAAAAAGGAACAGTGTTTCTCACCCCTCTTTGAACACTGCTCACGAGACATTAGCATGGGACCCAATATGGGAGTTGCTGCTATAATTTTCAACCTTTAAATATTTGTGTGTACACACATTGGTGGCTCAGATGGTAAAGAAACTGCCTACAATGTGGAAGACCCAGCTGCCATCCCTGGGTCGGGAAGATACCCTGGAGGAGGGCATGGCAACCCACTCCAGTATTCTTCCCTGGAGAATTCCACAGACAGAGGAGCCTGGTGGGCTACAGTCCATGGGGTCACAAAGAGTCGGACATGACTGAGCAACTCACAGACACATTACATACGATATATAATTTACACATACATGTAGGATGAACACCTACATAAAATACCACTGTCATCAGAAAAACCTCACTATGATGCTGTTCTAAACACGTCACTCCTCTGCTCAGCAAACCCATGGTCTGCGACAGAAAGGTCAAACTCTCTGGCACCCTCCATGTCTTGGTCTCATCAGGTAAAGCAAAGAATGAGAGCTTTGGTGTCTGTCACACCTGGCTTCAACTCCTGGCCACACCTTTGGTTTGCAAGTACTAGAAACCCAACCCCAACCAGCCCCAGCATAAAGGAACATACTCTGTGACAACACAGCTGAACCTTGAAAATGTTATGCTAAGTGCAAGAAGCCAGTAACAAAGGACCTCAGAGCGTGTGGTTCCATTTCTATGAAATGTCCAGAACACATAAATCCATACAGACACAGGGCGGATTGGTGGTTGCCTAAGGCTGGACATAATGGGAGGAAATGGGAGTAAAAAGTTTCTCTGGGGTGGAGGGGCCGGTGGTAATGAAAATGTTCTAAGATTGATGTGGTGATAGTTGCACAACTCTACAAACACACCAAAAAAACCACTGAATTACGCATTTTAAATGGATGAATTATATATGAATTATCTTAATAAAGCTATTGCTTGCTTTATTTTTAAGGAAGCGCTGACCTGGTTGTGAAGAATGCTGGGGAAACTCTCAGTATTCAAGCAAATGCTTCAGGAGCTGGGCCTTAGGCCCGAGAATCTGAGGCAAACCCCTCTACCCCTCCATCTCTGACTCCATTTTGACTTCTTTATTGAACAGATTCAGGTCATATGACCACCCCTGGACCAATCACAATTGAGGGAAACACAGTACAATGATTAGACAGGCCTAAGACATGTGACCTCTCCTAGGCTAGTGGGCAGAACATTTTAGAAAAGGAAGAATAGGGGGGAAAGAACTGGGTGGGAAGGAACTGATTAAGCCATCCTCCATGCTGGCTAGCAAACCTTTCACAAATTATTTAGTCCCTTGTTATGTAAAATGAGGACAATAAAATCCATTTGGCCTGGTTGGTGTGGAGATTAGTGGAATTAAGTTTTGTAAAGTACTAAAAGCTTTATATTTATCTTCCCTGGTGGCTTCTGGTAGAGAATCTGCCTGCTAATACAGGAGACATGGGAGACACAGGTTCCATCCCTGGGTGGGGATGATCCTCTGGAAAAGGAGAAGGCAACCCTCTCCAGTATTCTTGCCTGAAAAACCCCATGGACAGAGAAGCCTGGCCAGCTACAGTCCATGGGATCACAATGTCAGACACAACTCAGCGACTGAACAACAAAAGAGCTTTAGAGATTTCTACACAATCCTGCCCTGTAGCCACATGGTCCAGACCCTGATTCCCGCTCCTCTGAGTCTCTCAGATCTTTTATATTTTCAAGGCCTGCATTCACCTCCTCTAGGGCATCTTCTCTCTATGTCTCTTGCGCCCACATCAGGTTCACAATTACAGCCTGCCTTGTGCTTGAAGGACTTCTATTGTGGTCCTGTGTTGTCATTCCACATCTCCTAGGTTTCTGACATTTTCTGCCAACCAGCCTGTGTGGTCCCTGAGGCCAGGAATGGCTGCTTAACCATCTCTGCCTCCTCCCCCACCACCCCCTACTACCCCACCACAGGGCTTGGCAAATGGGGAGAACTCTGTAAACATGTGCTGATTATCTGACTGATGAAGGGCCAACAGTTTTTATAAGATCCAAACCTTCCTGAATGGATGTCTGCAAGGGAAAGCAGACATATGGGCACAAACAGCAGTATTCAACTCAAACTCCATCCAACAGTAAGAGAAATCTCTCAGGTAGGTAGTATATATAATACACATAGCATATTATATCTCAGAGGCAGGGGGATAGAGATTGCAAAACTCATTTAAAATAGAAGTGCGAATAGTGCAGGAAACCCTGCTCAGGAGCAGGAAAACTTGGAAGAAGCATACTTACTGATTGCTTGTCCCAGCACCCCTTCCATCCAGCTCCTACAGTAGAGGCTAGGAAAGTCAATGCTTTTTTTGCCAGCCTGCATTGTAACTAGCGTTGAGCATGTGACCCAGTTCTGGCTAATGAAACATAAAGGTAAGTCTTCCAGAAGGCTTCCAGGAAAGACTTTTCTTCCTGATAAGAGAGGAGAGCCTGAGAAGGTAACATCTTACTGCCTCTCAATATGGTATGTGATTGTGATGCCTGGAGCTGGTGAAACCATCTTATAACCAAGAGGGAAGATGTCAGCTCAGACTCATTGAAACAGTACAACCCCTACCTCTCTTTGGATGTATTGCTATGTGATCTAAAAAAAAGAAAAAAACCCTTGTTTGTTTAAGCTTGTTAATTCAGTGGTTTCCATACTTGCAAGTAAAAGCATTTCAAACTGATACACTGAGGTGATGGAAAGGACAGGGGCCTGTCTGGATTGCAGATTTCTAGGAAGTCTTGTCTTGATGATGACTACCACTGCTATGGAACTAGACAATGTGCCATCTCGCTCACAGGAAAAAATAATGTCAAAATATTCTGTGGCAGTTAAGATTCTGTGCATATTGTAACATCTTTCTTAATTCTCTATTTTATTTAAAATTTTTTTAAATTTTATTTATTTATTTGGCGGCACTGATCTTAGCTGCAATAGGTGGGATCTTCAATCTTCGTTGGGGCATGTGAACTCTTAGTTGTGGTATATGGGATCTAGTTCCCTGACCAGGGATTGAACCCAGGCCCTCTGCACTGGGAACGCTGGAGTCTTAGCCACTGGACTACCAGGAAGTCCCTCAAATTCCCTTTTACTTCATGTTCTTCTCCTCATCATGGCAGCCAACATTTCCAAGTGAACAGTGGATGCTCTCAAGAAAACGTAGGGCAACCAGCCTGCCTGTGCAACCTTTCGCACCACCAGTCTAACCCACCCACTGCTTTCAGAGCCACCTGGCCTCTGGGAATACACACCAGGGTTCTTCCCGCCTTTACTTTAAAGCTCATTTGTGTCTGGAAAGTCCTTGGATCTTCTCAAAAATGTCTCATGCAT